TACTAGAATGCCCCTGATTAGTGATGGGACACCCAGACAACTTAAAACATTAAACAGGATTAGGCCCATTAACAAAGGCCCAGTACAGGACAACTTAAACTTAAGTATAGGCTAATAAGAACTCTTATCAGCCGAATACTCATACATACAAAGACTTCAATCCAACATATTGGAATTTTTTTTTATTAGTATATCGTCTATTGGAGTTACTCCTAGGTTCTTTCTAATAAGTACATTTATAAACTTATCCTTTCTAGTTTTGCCACTCATTCATCTCAACATACACATTTTTGCTTACTCATTTTTTGGATATGTTTCTTGATTGCCAAACATTTTGCTCTATACAACATTGTTGGCCTTATAACCACTTTTCATCACATAGGACTTTAGATGCAGCCCTCCATTTTTCCCATCTTGCTCTAATTCTATGGGTGACATCCTCTTCAATCTAACCCTTGTTATGAATTATCAAACCAAAATAATGAAGGAGGTCATATGGAGACATCTCTTGGTCTCAAATCCTAAGTGTTCCATGATTTATAATCTTATTATTATTATTATTATTATTAAATCTACATTGCATATATAATGTTTTTGTCCTTATTTTAGAACCTCTTGTTTCTAAAGTATTTGTCCATAATCAAATTTTGCATTTAATCTCTCTCTAGTTTCATCAATTACTATGTCATCCTCAAACAAGAAACACCTTGAGACCTCCTCCTGTATGTGTTTAATTAATCCATCCATGACTAGTGCAAAGTGCAAACAAACAAGGGTTGTGTTAAGCCTTGACGAAGTTCCACCTTAGCTGAAAACTCTGATGTCTTTCCCATAGGTGTTGTAACATTGGTTATTGCATCCTTATGCGTGTCCTTAATTAGGTTCACATACCTATTTGGAACTTCTTTCTTTTCCAAAATCTATCTTTCTAAAAACTCTATTATATGCTTTCTTTGGACCAATGAATACCATAAGAAAGATCCTTCCTTTCTCTAATCCCTTATATCAATTGTCTCAATAAAAAGATAGCCTCCTTGGTTGGTCCCCCAGCATAAAGCCAAATTGATTTTTTTGGTATACTTGTTTCATGTTGTAACCTCTGTTATTCTTTTCCAAAGCTTCATAGTGTGACTCGTGAGTTTTACCCCACAATAGTTATTGCAACTTTGTATATCACCTATGTTTTTAAACATATGCACCATGGCGCTCTTTCTTCAATCATCTGGCATTTTCTTTTTTTTTTTTTCATTATCTTATTAAATAGTTTAGTTGGCCATGAAAACCTACCTCTCCCCTATCCTTTTAGACTTGTATTAAAAATTTAGAATACCATCAAGTGCTAGCACTTTCCTCTTATTTAAAGCTTACACTTTATAGAAACTCTAGTACTTCTGTAAAAGTACCTACTTTCAATTATATTAATGTCTCTTTGTAAGGGATGGAAATCCATGTTCTTATGTTGTGTTGAGGTAGGGTATTCAAATATATAGGTCAAATGAACACGAAACAATTAATTAATCATATCAAAATTTCAACACGAACACAACCTGTTTATTACACATGCAACACGACATGGCCCGTGTAACCTGAATTGACACGATTAACCCATTTTATCCTACACTAAATAACACATATAACCAGAACTAACACAAAATCAACACGATTAACCTGTTTAAATTAAACAATAAATAGATTGAAATAGTAAAATGAACATTCAGTCATCCATTACCTTGACAAATTCATAAAAAAAAATTCAATGTCATCTTTACCAACCATAATAGTATTTTATTCAAATATACGTACATGATCTAATGCTTGAAACTTCGGGTCATAAACAAGTCATTATCGAGTTAAGTGGGTCAAGACAAAATTGGCACATTTATTAATCGTGTTAAACAGGTCAACCCACTAACTTCTTGTTGTGTTTATGTGTTGTATCAAATATTTCCAGCCCTATTCTTCATGTAGTAGATTTTTATAATAGTGTCACCATCTTTCCTTGATTTTGTCATCCATTACCAAGACCCTTTGATCTTCCTCTGATGCATCTAGCATGATTTTAATATTTGTGAGTCTATAAATTCCATTTTCTCCTTCTTTTATGCCTTGCTTATAAGTAGTAATCATGTAACTATTATCTAATTTAATAATGATCTTTCTAAATTTTATAAATGTATATTATTACGTTAGGTCCATTTGGTCTCAAACTTTTTCATATAAGCAAACTAAATAAGTTAAGCAACTAACGCCTAGTTCAATAGCACAATTTGCCCACCTCACTGTAAATTTCTTTTTCTTTTCCTTGCTTAGGGGGTTGATACTTTTGATGATATTTTAAGTCAAAAGTAGAGACAGGGCATGCATTAAAACAAGAAAATTCTATTTATGACCAAAAGAGTTTTTCTAGCTCTCTTACATTTAAAGCATGAATGCATGATCCCTATGGATCAACTGACCAACAAGGAAAAGGAGATTTAGTAATGAATTTTTTATGTAACTCCATATTGATGCTTAATATTCATCATATATGTGGATGATAAAATATCATGGATATGCACACATGATAAAATTTCAGTTACTTTCCTTTGTCATCCGGAGGTTGATTGTTCAAGGGGACTCAAAGACTATTAAATTTCTGGTGAAAAGGTGAAATGAATGGACCATGGAGACTTGAATTGAATGATCACCACATAGCCATTGTAACTTGTAAGTATAGGGTCCTGAAAGGAAGGAGTGTTGAGGGAGCAGTGTAGGACTGCTCCATAACATTAAACTGAAAATCATATACAGAGCATACACTTCTGTAAAATACATATTGTACATTTTCTGGTATTATTAATAAAAGCATCAAGTTACTGATCAAAAAATAAAATAAAATTTCAGCTGCCTTTCACTCAACTGTTGCAAGTTTTTATTTTGTGAATCAATGCACCCCTCCCGGTTGATAATCTTTGGTCAAATTATCATGCCAATAATTGGTCTTAGATTGTTAAGATCATCTTGTTAGTGGTTTCTGTACCTTGTAGTAAATTCTGCAGCAGTATTGTGATCTTATGCTAATGATAAGTGCTTCATTGTTCAATGGGCAGGCAATTATTACTGAAAAATATGGCACATCTGGATGCAATGTTGGCGAAGATGGTGGATTTGCTCCCAATATCTCCAGGCAAGTTTTTCCTTCATTTAATGGTCTTTTCTGTTAATTTAGTATACATACCAGAAACAATAAATTAAATAATTAATTATTTTGGTGAACCTAGGCTTGCTCTAAGTAGGTCATAAGATAGTTTCCTGTGCATCAAATGCCAATCCTTAATCCAATAAGGTGTAAATTATTATTTGGTGCAGTTCAAGGGTCAGAGACGATAATACCCAGATCAAAAAGGATGTGGGTTGGAACAGTGTGAAAAGACTTTGAGAGCCTATAATTTAATAGAAGATTTGGCCCTAAAAGAGTGTCATTGTAGAGGATTTGTTTACTTGAACCTAGATAGTTTAGACAATGTTTAACTGAATTCTCTTGTTTTGAGGTTATATACTTATATGCGTTATTATTACTTTTAGAATCAATGAGAAAATATCCCATATTTTAGAATCCACAACGTGAATACTATATCAACTTTCGTGTTGCTTGATAGTTGATGCAAAACATTAATGTAAATTCTGGGGTGGATACTATATTGTCATCACTGCTGACTTTGTTTCAATTTTCAGTTTCAAAGAAGGCTTGGATCTTGTTAAAGAAGCAATAGACCAAACAGGATACAATGGAAAAATCAAGATAGCAATGGATGTTGCTGCAACTAATTTCTGCTTAGGTGATTATAATTTTTTTTATCCCGACTGATCTTAGTATCTTACAGGTATAGCGGAAAATATGTAAAATTTGTTTGATAATATGTAATTGTGGGGAGAAAACCTTGCCACCTAACATGGTCACAATTTGGGCTCTTTAGCATGTCTTTGAATGATAGATAGATGATCTTGAAATCATATAACTGTATGATAAGTATCTCACTTAACATTTTGTTTAGATAGGTTAAAAGATCTGCCAATGCTCTAGTAGATCAGCTTGTTGGATAAAAATATAGCAGCAAGTATGTAAATTTTGTTACATAACCGTGTAATTGTGGGGAGAAATATCTTGCAAGCTAACACGGTCCACAAGTTAGGCTCATTACCATGTAATTGTATGATAGATAATATTAAAATCACATAACTGCATGATAAATATCTCACTTTTAGTATTAATCTGAACATCTTGTTTAGATGGGTTAAAAGATCTGTCAATGCTCTGGTATATCAGATTGCTAGAGAAGGGATGAATCAGGTTGACATTTACAGTAATATGGCAATGGATTGGGTAACCCAGCAGGTTCATTGCACAGTACTGATGCAAACCTATTGTAGTCTGCTCCAATTATTAATAGAAGTGCTTGGATCTGTCATCATAATCATTATCATCTAAGCCTTTTCCCAACTACATGGGGTCAGATACATAAATTCCGTTCTGTCATTCCTTTCTATTCAGTGACATATTCACTGTCCCCCCCCCCCCCCCAAACCACAGTGAAGGCAGGGATTCAATCCCAAGTCTCTGCTACAACCAGCCAGAGACCTTACCAGCAAGCTAGCTGGTAAAAAATCTTTTCACTGTCGGAATATTGACATGATCTGTTAAATTTTGTTCTGCTATTCCTTTTTATTAGATCTATTCTTTCCATGCTATGCAATACACATGACCTATCAATTAGTGATGCATGGGCTCTGGTTGAAGAGTGCGGTTGTTTTCAAATATTTTGACCATGTTTTCAAATGAATGGTGCTTATTTCTCTTTCCTGATCTAGGAACCAAGTATGACCTGGACTTCAAATCCCCAAACAAGTCAGGACAGAATTTCAGGACAGGAGAAGAAATGATTGAGATGTATGTACAACTCTGTGCAGGTACTGCTTTCTAATATATATGTATATATATACACACACACACACACACACACACACATATATATATATATATATATATAATGATTATTTTAATGCCTTCTTTAATCTCATCAATGAATTAAATGGACTAGTACAGCTTTTATCTCTTGGCTTTTCTAGCAGACTATCCTATTGTATCAATTGAGCAGCCATTTGACAAGGAGGATTGGGAAAATACCAAGCTATTATCTGCGCATGGGATTTGCCAGGTCTGGCTTGTATTTCTTTTATGAAGGATATCTTTTACTAGGTTATCTGCATATCTGATCTATATCCAAACAACAGTGCTGCCCCTGCATGTGTGCACTTAAACATAGCCTGTTAATGGGCCAGGACAGACTAATGTAGACACAACATTAGGGAAAATCCATAGAGAGAGATCAGTTTTCATTTGACTCCTTGTACGGTGGAAGTTTCATGTTTTTTGGATGATTTTTTATTTAAGAGTTGTTAGTTTTTCTTCAAAGAAAAAGTTATTTGTTAGTATTAGGGTGATGTAGGACCTGCTCTGATTTCAAATGATGTAGGATCATATATGAGCCTAAGCATTGATACCAAATGATTTTTCACTGATATGACTTGAGTCTGAATTTAGTAGAGTATTGC